CTGAATGATAGTGTGGATTCCTAAAAAGACAGAGTGATATTAGTGAAGAGTCAGGAAATAATTTCTTGACTTATTATTGATGGTTTCGGTGTGATGAAAAATTACACACGCTGAACAAACGTGAGCACTGAAATTACAGTATAGTACCTACTGCTGTGCTTGTGAATCATTAATTTCAATATATTTATAATAAACTTCTCCCTGTAACATGAGTAAAGATTGATTTTTAAGAAATGTTCTGAAAGGTCGTAGTACAATGCAGTGTGATGGTTTGTCCTTTTACAGTGGTTAGATTTTCCTTAGGCAGGACAATGTCAGCCAGATACTTCTTGAGGGTTCTGTTTATTTACATTTAATACATGGTATCCTTCTTCCTTGACTCAAGAAGAAACCAAGTGGAATCATGTCTTCTGTTATCCTGTATTTTCAGAGTTATTTTAACTACAGAGTTGTGAGATCTGTGCTTTGAAAGAATGAGTACAGTTGAGTTCTGGTTTAACCCCAGCCAGCAACTGAGCACTGCGCAGCCAAAACTTACCTATCCCAGTTGAAACCAGCACAAGTTGTTACTGGTTTCTCATTTGATCCCTTTTTTTGTTTCTTTTTAAAAACAAAAATAGTGAGAAGGAACTTGAGCTCTTGGTTGCTGCTTCTGGAGCTCAAGACCCAGAAAAGAAGGTAAGGAACTTGCATTTTCTTTCACCTACAGACTTCTTTTTTAATTACTTGTTGCTCAGTCACTAAACTCTTTATGGCTTTTTTAAAATTATAAATGTTGTGTTTTTTTCTAATAAGGCATTAGCATAGACTAAAATGGAAGCCAGGAGTCGTAGCTCTGTACTCGCTACACATGCTTTCAGCTTAAGAGGACAATATTTTTATGAAAATTATCACACATTTTCTTTTGCTGTTGCCAAGTGGAAGTTTTGTTTCTTGGAAAAAATACTTAGTGTCCAGTGGCAGTCTGTATGTGCACGTGTTAGTAAACTTTCTTTGGGAATGTAAAGAATGCTGCAGAAAGCTTTTGCTCTTTTTCAATTAAGAAAAAAATCTAGTTGTTTTGCAGATGAGTTGATCTTATTGTAGCAATTTTTAATTTCAAATTGCAATTCTTTCTAAAAACTATCAAATGAAGTATTTGGGATTACAGGCATTTTTATAGGCTTTTGTAAAAAGCAAGATGTTTAATATTGTGTTGCATGTAAGACAATGCAGTTACTACTGTCTTCACTTCCTTAGGATAGTGATTATTCTACTAAGAATTTTGATTAGCATATATGAAGGAGTAGATTGCCAGCACTAGTAATGTTAGTAGCAGACTGATTGTCACAGAACTAGTGTGATTTTTACAATGAGGGTGGTGAAACACTGGAACAGGTTGCCCAGAGAGGTGGTGAAGGCATCATCTCAGGAGACATTCAAGCTCAGGCTTGATGGAGCTCTGAGCAACCTGATCTAGTTCAAGATGTCCCTGCTCACTGCAGGGGGGTTGGACTAGATGGCCTTTAGAGGTCCTTTCCAGCACAGCGCATTTCTGTGGTTCTGTGGTTTGCACGTGTGTTTGCCAAGTGCCTGAAGCCATTGCAGCTTGGGTACAGCAGAGATCTGCTCTTAGAGATGTAAGATGGGTAACTTTCTCAGGTGAAAATAAACTGGTTATTAATTTATCTGCTTACAGGTTTAAATTATCAATAGCAGTGCTGTTTTTTGAGGGGAGGCTACAACACAGAAAGGAACTTGTGCTGTTTCTGGAGAGTTCAGCAGAGGTGAAAGGAGTTCTTGCCTTCTAGAAAGTGAAGAGAAATGAATAGCTGTAAGATGCAATTACTCAGCTTGTCAGGCAGGAATCTGAAAATGCAGGTAGATAAACAACAAAGTTCCTGCTCCTACGTGGGGAGGGAGAACACTGACAAGTGGTCTTGGCTATGTGTTCCTGCCTTTTCTGCTTAAAGTATCTGCGGTTCCCATTTTTGATCCCTTTTGCAAACCGATTCAGCTTGGTTAGCTGGCAGAAATCTGCATCTTGTTTGCTGCCTCAGTTTGCTTAGAGACGTCAGTTGGCTGAACAGGGATTCAGATGGTGAAAGGGAGAGGGATGGAGCGTACAGCTGGAAGCCGGGCAGGAAAACAGGAAAAGCTGAGCAGAGGATGCTGGCTCTTTTGGCACAGCAAGCTGTAAGGTCAGGGTAAACAGTTTTGTCTAATCAAAGCTGACTAGGCAGAAGCATGCTGTGCTGCAGCACTTTGTATACCGTGCTGCTCTCAGTCGGGGACTGAAAAGTGCTTATTGTAGGAACACAATTATATGCAGAGCAAGTTCCAGGGCATGTATGTTTTAAAACCTTTAATTTAGCTGAAAAGCTTCAATTAAGTAGAATTGCTACATTCATTAAGTGTCAGTCACTGTTAGCTTTAAATCACTTCTCAGAGAGGGATTCTAATTAGATGGACTTCTTGATTAATTACAGGTTGGTTAAACAGTAATGTCTGATTAAGAATCTATAAATGTAGGCTATTGTATATACTGCTTGTTTAAAATAAAGCAATCCCCAGGATGAACTGAGTACCATAGTCGTGTCTCAAATGAACTACAAAAATAAAATCTGGGGCACTTTGGGAGCAATTCACATTGAACTTGTTAGTGAGAAAGCTATTTTAAATGTTCTCCTACTCGAGATACTGAATTTGAAAAGACAAGTTAAAAGAAAAAAGTCAATTGCTGTAGCTCATATCTGTTATTGAATTTCATATTCACATCTAGAAATTTCAAGTTGTTATAAACAAATATTCATGTCTAGTAGATTTTGAGAATTTTAATCTAAGATTGCTCTAGTTCGTGATTGGTGAGTACTAACTGCCTTACATATACTGTCTTGCAGCTAAGTGATGAAGAGGTAAACATTTCATTTTGCTGAAATACTTCTGTGTTGTAGGGTGTATGGTTTACTGTTAGATATTTAATATTTAGCTGGTTGCTGGTATTATTTTGTCTGAATGCATGTGAATTGAAGCAGTACAATGTTAGGACCAGTAAATTTGAAAACAAAATCTGTTTTGCTTATGCAATGTATGATTTCTTTTTTTTCCTGGTCTTTTATTATATTGATTCATTTAAACAAACAGTAGAATATTTATGCATAGCAGCTGGTATAAGGGCTTTCTGGGTGTAATAGGATAGTTCTGAAACTAACTGACTTGCATGCCTTCGTTATTTGCATGTTGCCTTTGACTTTCTTCTGAGGCTGCCAGTTATCAATAAACATTTGATACTTTTATTTTAAAAAGAAAATCCTCAAAATTTTTGTCACTGTTGTGGTTGAAAAATATAATGAAATCAAAAAAACTTAAAAAATACAATAACGGTATTGCAAGGAAATGTTTATTGGAAAAAGTCTCAGTATGTGTTTGGGTTTGGATTTCCCTGATTATGGGTTACTTTAATCTGGGGGGCAGGGTATTCCAGAAACTTTTCCTGTGTCTATTATGAGAATACTGTCCGTGTAGGAAACTGGCAGCTGTAGATAACCTGTACTGCATACAGCTGTGGACATACTTCTTTTTTCTAGGCCATAACTGGAACCATATACTTTCTGAAACCTGCCATAGAGGTTGGCTTTTGTAAATCTGTGATAAATAGGCTGGATTTTCTTGTACTGTTACATTTCCAGTAATTCCTTGGGAGAAAAAAAACGGCAATTACTAGAAATCTGAACAGCTTGTTGGCATTCGATGAAGTGTTTAATGCAACCTAAGTGGAGGTTCAGAATATTTCCTTGTAATAACAAGGTAACCATTTTCTTTTCTCTCTCTTTTTCTATTATTTGTTTTTCCCTTTCAGCCAAATAGGTTGAAACAGTTTGGCTTGACAGCAAGAGCTTCTGAAGAGAAAGTACCTCCTGAAAGGCCCAGGGTGGCTTTCCAGACTCAAGTGCCTGTTCCTACAGTCTCCACAGTGAATGAAGACTTTCACAGGGGGCTAGCCAGCACCCTTGGTGAAATTGCAGCTCCCAGGTGCTTTGCTGTCATATTCGTTTTATGTATGACATAAGGTGGTTTTTAAGCCTGTTGCTACTGCTAAGGTAGAGCTCAGTGGCTCTATCGATCCTTCTCCAAGGAACTAAAGAAGGTGGCCCAGTCCTGTTCAACATCTTTATTGTGTCCTGGATGAGGGGATCGAGTCTACCCTTAGTAAATTCTTAGATGACACCAAGTTGAGGGGCAGCATCAATCTGCTGGAGGATGGGAAGGCACTGCAGAGGAACCTGGACAGGCTGGGTCGATGGGCTGAGGCCAGTGGTATGAAGTTCAAGACTTTAGGATGTTGGGTAGTGATAGGACTAGA